CAAAAAAAAAAAAAAAAAAAAAAAAAAAGAATTTGCAGCCGGCACAGAGGCAGCAATCTCAGATTCTTGCAGGAACCTCAAACGCAAATGTCTATGGGGCTTGGCAGGTAGTAAAATGAGGGAAGCAATGTGTAAGAAAAATTATGTGCCCATCATATTCTGTCTTTCCTTGTCCTACTTTTGATGAAGACTTGGGCTCAGAGAAAAATATCCTTAGTATGAGAAAAACAAGAGAACGGTGATGATAAATGGCAACTGACATGGCCACAGGATCCAGACCACCAAGAGGTGGAAAGGATGGGAGAAAACTGGGGGTTCTCAGCCTGGCCTGCCCCCTCTCAAGGGGCAGTCACTGCTCAGGCCCTGCCCACTTTCATCCTGGGGGTTAAACCACCCAGTGGGGCCAGACCTTCTGAATCACCTGAGAGAACATAGAAAAGTGGGCTGGTGTGTGTAATTTCCTGTTTTTTATTTATTTACTTATTTATTTTGCGGTATGCGGGCCCCTCACTGTTGTGGCCTCTCCCGTTGCGGAGCACAGGCTCCGGACGCGCAGGCTCAGCGGCCATGGCTCATGGGCCCAGCCGCTTCGCGGCATGTGGGATCTTCCCGGACCGGGGCACGAACCCGAGTCCCCTGCATCGGCAGGCGGACTCTCAACCACTGTGCCACCAGGGAAGCCCAATTTCCTGATCTTTAAATTTTGCCTCTAATTTTTAAAAATACCACGTAGACATCGAACCTAAGATGCTTTTGATTGCAAAACATTCTGATATTTAATAAACTACTAATAAAGAACAAAAGACCTGTCAATTAAACTGTGACAAGTCATTGATTGTAGGACAAGTCCCAATTCCAAAGATGTCACAATGTGAAAAAAAAATGTGCCCCTAAGAATCCATGAAATACTGTATAATAATAAGCTGGGCTTGGCCTTTGGCACCTTGTACAGCTTCCAATCTACCCAACTGTACAGAGCAGCTCTTATGATGCCACCTCGGGCACTGGAGGTTTATACTTGGGTCATATCAATGAACACCCGAGTCCCTTGAGGAGTAAACCCTCTTTGATCTTTATCTGGACCAGCAATGAGTCAAGGCAGTAAAGAGGAAAATGTGGCCCAGTTTGTTCCTGTGGGTCACTAGATCACTAATGGTGATACGAAGGCCCCCAAGATGGTGGTTTAGTAGGCATGGGCCAGGGGTGGGGTGGTGGTTCATAAGGGATTCTGATTCCTGCCAGGGATGGGAGCCTGCCAGGGATAGAAGTCTCACACCTGATTTTATACATGGCCCAATGTCACATACCTGGGCAGAGCAGAGCCAGGCCAGAGGCTCAACCCTCCCCAGCCCCGTTCCCAGTGCCCCCTTCTCCTGCTGACTGTAAAGTTCCTGCCCCTCTGCCCCAGGGGTCTCCAGCATTTCTCCAGAGAGTCTTTTGTTTGTTTGTTTCTTTGTTTTGGCCACACAGTTTGGCATGAGGGAACTCAGTTCCTGGACCAGGGATTGACCCACGCCGCCTGCAGTGGAAGCGCGGAGTCTTAACCACTGGACCACCAGGGAAGTCCCGCTTTCCCAGAGAGTCTTCGCCTCTCCTTTGTTCCATCCTCCAGAGGCTCTGGTGCTGAGCCTGCCCTAGGAAAAGCAACTTTATTTGATTCACAAGACTTTTCAATTTTATTAGTAAAATACAAAATGGCACAGACATTGGTGATAGTGTTGGAAAAGCAAAATGATCAATCAGCTCCTTCTGAAGTCCTCCCCAAATTGTCTTTGTACCTGTCCTGCTTGGGGGAAACTCACAAAGTCCGTGGAAGGGAGACACGCTGTCCCCAGCTGCTTTCTCACAGAGGGGAGCCCCTTCATGGGTGCCTGTCCCTTGAAGGCTCCCAGGCCAGAGGAGCCCCCCAAAGTGCATTCAGATCCGCTGTCTTCCTCTCTGAGCTGTCAGAGTGCCGCCAACCGGAGCCAGGCCCAAACATCCTGTGCCGTGACCTGCAGGGGAGTGCAGGAGAGCCAGGCCGGCAGGGAAACACGGCTTCCCTCTCTCTGTAGACTGGAGTCCCAGGTGCTTCCTCTCAGCATCCGTCTACAAAGGAGCACGTCACCTGTACCTGGGGGAAGCCTAGCCCATGGGACACCCCTCTGATGGAGGGCAAAGGTGACCTTCAGAGACAATCGGAGGGAGGTGGGGAGCTGCCGCCAGGGACCTGAGAGGTGAGACCTGCAGGTCCGGCTCTGACTGCGGGGTGCTGGCCGGCCTGGTGAGCCTTCGGCCCCATCCAGGCCTGCCTGAGTCCTCAGTGCCAAAAAGAGTACCTCTGACTTCATGCCCACAGCTTCCCTCCCCTGCCGGCCCCTCCCCACAAGACAGAGTCCCTTTCAGAAGTAAACACGGGAACCTCAGCTTTCCCTGGTGGATTCTGATCTCATGGAAATTCCTGGCCCTACCTGCGCGGGGGATGAAGGTGAGGGGAAAAGAAATCAGAGTGCAGAGGACAGTGTTTTCAGGGCGCGAGAGGTGGAAGAGGACCCAGGCCGCAGGAAAGAAAGAGAAAATGCCTGACTCGGGTCCCTAACGAAGCGAAGGAGCTGCCGCTGCTCCCTGGTTCCTTTCTCAGAGCCTGCAGGCCTCCCCTCCTCCTTCAGCCTGTCACTCGTCACTTCGTCTCAAAGCCAGCGGGGGCGGAGGGGGGCCTTCAAAGTTGGTCTCTGCGCCTCAAGTACCCCAGCCTAGCCCCCCACCCCCAGGGGGCCCACACTGCTGACAAGGGGGCAGGACCTCCAGGTCACAGCGCCCATGGGAGTGCCGGTCTCATCGATGGCAGAGACCATCTCTTCTGATGAAGGTTGAGAGGCTGCACCCAAGGTCTGCAGAAAGGAGTCTCTGGATCCACTAGTGATGCCTGCCAGGGGTGCAGGCTATTACCGCATATTTGCTGTACCTCTCCCCTTTCACAGGTGAGAAACCAGAGATATGAATGCCTTGATGGATCGCTGGTGGGCCTGGGACTAGACCCCCCCCCGACCTTCACGCTCGTAGTCAATGCTCCTTCACAGCACAGACGGGGCAAAGCAGCGGGTGGGAATCAAAACCACCGGATGACTTCATTTCTCATTCTCATGATGCCTACCTGAGGGCAGATCCTTCTTTGGGATCAGTCCCAGGAAACACCACACTAGCCTCATGCAAGAAAAGACAGGTCCCCGGCTGGGGCATGGGGTCTATACAGGGGGCAGGGGAGCTAGCACCGCAGGTGGCCGGGGTGACTGGCAACCACAGCGGGACCAAGAGACACGATGAAGTCTGAGGGAGTGGGGAGAAGGGGCCTGGACTGAGGCTCGTTTGTAAGAAGGGATGACTGTGGTACCCGCAGGGGTATGGGTCAGAGGGGCTGGTGTTTCAATAAATAATTGTTCACTGGGGCTGGCACGGTATCTAAGGGACCCTCTAACCAGCCAACAGCAGAGGGGAGTTTTCTGACTTGGGACATTGGAGTGAGTTGTGGAGGCCACCCCCTCTGTCCGCAGTAGGTCAAGGATGGTCAAGGGTGGCCTCCAAGGAGCTGGGGGCAGTTCCACCCAGAGGATCCCACCTCCTCGCTCCAGTCATCCCAGCTTGGGCCAGACTCTTGGGTGAGGGCGAGTGTGAGGATGGGGGACGCCAGGCAGCTGAGTTGAACAACTGGATGCAGGCAGGTGGGCAGCTCATACTGGCACCAGGACGTACGAGTTACTGCCACAGCTCCGGGGGACGTAGCGAAGCCCCTCCACCATGTCTCCTGCCATCTTGCGGGGGCAGCCCTGAAGGCTCTGGTAGGCAAACATGGCCACCCCCAGGCAGAAGAGGAGACCGAGGAAGGCCAACAGCCCCACTGCCTGCCTTCGGGTGGCTGCCTGGGAGTCAGGGATGGGAGTGATGAGGACACCCAGCCTCTGGGGGTCCACGGTGGCATGAATGGGCTCCTTGACCTTGGGGGTCCAGCTGCCAGAGGCCAATGGATCCGTACTGGGGACCCCTTCAGAGGATACAGGGACCACGAAGACATCGGACACGCTGCCGGGCCCCATGAAAGCATCCGTGTGAGCTGAAATGGGACCCAATTCTTTGGACCCTAGAGAGTTCTCTGGCGTGGGGTCCTGTCCCTTGATCCACCCAGGTTGGCCTTTGGGCCCAGTGTTGTCCTCTGGGACTGTGTGTGAAATAGTGAGGGCCTGGGTGGAGGGGGCCTGGGTGGGGAGGGTCTGGGTGGAGGGGGTCTGGGTGGAGGGGGTCTGGGTGGAGGGGGCCTGGGTGGAGGGGGCCTGGGTGGAGGGGGCCTCAGAGGCTTTCCCCTCAGCCTCGAGGTCTGCCCCAGGTTGGTAGGCGGTAGAACTCTGCCAAGACGTGGTGGTGGTGACGGCAGCCTTGTTGAAAACCGCAGTTGTCTCGGGCCCTCCATCCGGAGTCTTTGAAGTGGAGGGGGACCTGGTCCCCCTGGAATCAGCCACTACTGGTGGCAGCTCTGGGGAAGTCCCGAAGGCCCTCTGTGCCTCCTGGCTACTGCTTTCGCTTGTGAATTTGATCTCTGAGGCCTCAGACCAGTCCATCCCTCTGGTGGCTGGGCTGGTCCTGGGCTCACCCACACCGATTTGCTTCTCGAATGTGCCGCCATTTGGAGCCAGAGCAGCAGCCTTGCGGTCTAGATGCTCCATGGCTTTCTGGACCCATTTCTCCTGTGGGTCAGCACAGAATAACTTTTCCTTCATGGTCTTCAGGCTGCAAGGAAGGAAGACAAGGGACCCAGTGATGCCCAGATGCCATGCGGAGTAGGGGTATCGTGCACATGCACTGCAGGTGAGCAGACCCGGCTAGAAATCCTGCTCCCACCACTTAACTAGCTGTGAGCTATGAGTTCTTAGCTGGGGCAGCTCAGCTTATGGAACTTCCGTGTTCTCACCTGAGAACCGGAAAGAGAGTCCTACCTTCCGCGGGGTGACCAAGCATCCCAGAAAAACTGGGACTGAGGGCGTTCTCAAGATGCGGGTCTTTTTGTGAAAATTCCAGCAAACTGGGACAAGTGGGTCACCCTACTTCTGTGTTATTGTAGGAGATGAAAATGATGTAAAGCCCCTGGTTCAGAGTAGGAGATCAGCAAAATAATAACAATGTTAATAATCATGTCATTAACATGAAGGTGGGGGCTGTGGGCTGCAAGTTTTCTGATTGGGAGAAGATGTCACGGGTGTTCTCTGGCAAGCTTGGAGGTAGGGCCTCCTCACTCTGGAAAGGACTCGATGTCATAACATCCTCTTCCTCCTCTCCCTCGGTTGCAGGCTGCCCTCCGGACCTCTACCCTCCTCTCCTAGTGTGTATCCTCAGACTGAAAGGGCCCCTAGGGAGCTCCAACCCTATACATGGTGGCCCTGCTGGGACCCTGAGTGCCATCCAAATCTTGAACTTCCTTTGAAGCTGCGTGTGCCTGGTTTACTACCGAGACCACAGCTCAGAGCTTGCTCCACGCCATGAGCCGTGCTAGGCATTTTGCCTGGTTAAACTTCACACCCATCCTGTAAGATGGCTACCATGTGCACCCCCATTTTACAGATAAGAAAACCAAGGCTCAGAGAGGTAATGTAAATGTGCCTGGCTCCAGTATGCTAGGAAGCCAGAGAGGTCCAGAAAGCAAGCATGACCCTGTAGGCCCCACAGGTACAGTGCTGCCCTAGTGCCATCATCCCCTCTCTGGAGCATCCCACTTCCCCTTTGCCTACAAAATAGAAGCAAATACGTGGGGGAGTCTGGGGGAAGCGAGTCTTGACAGGTGAGCAGAGAGGTCAGGCAGTAGCACACTTGCTCCTCTTAGTAACAATCAGTGGGAGGAAGCACAACTTCCTTTAGCTGAGACCCTACTTTGAAGGCCCACTGGCCATTTCCTGTTGCCAGGACTCAGGGCCTGGTTGAGTCTGGCTGAGGCCGCTTTAAGACCCAAAGGTCAGTCCTGGGGAAAGGCCTCAGGGCTGGGCGGTTGGCAGTACCCAAGAAGGACCCCAGAGGAGCAAGCAGCCACGATGGCCAGGGATCCCAACAGCCAGAGGGGAAGCTGGCTTGGCTTGACCCCTCCTCAAAGTCTCAGAGGGATTCTATTTCCCCATCTGTCCAATGGCAGTAATAACCTTGGCCTCTCCTGTTGCCAGCAGCTTCTGGGCACCCTGCCAAGCACTTTAGTTTCATTATCTCCTTTCAGCTTCCCCAAACTACCCATTTTACAGATAAGGAAACTAAAGCGCAGAGGGTAAGCAACATGACCAGGGCCACCCAGTCTGTAAGTGGTGAAGCCAGGATTTGCACCAGATCTGTTGGCGTCTGGAGCCTGCACATTCAGAGCCCTGTGTTTTCATCCCCCATGAAATCCAGCAGGTTCGAGGGCTGCATAAACACCCTTTAGCCCAGAAGGAATCATCACCCTGGGTGGCATCTCCAGGCCACGGCCATTCAGGAAGCCACAGCTCATCTTTGCCCTGTGGCACAGATATTAAGATTGGCCAGGAGGCCAGCAGGTCAGGAGCCAGAGATGCATTTGCGGAGGCCCTGGGCCAGGAGCCCAGCTTTGGGTGACAGGATGTGGACACGGATTAGCGGAGGCCAGGGAACCACCCCCGGGGCCTGAAAGGAATTCAGAGGCCAAGAGGGCGGTACCTACATGATGGCACGTTTGCCGCATGATTCTTGATTTCGCTGGTAGTGGACCAGACGAGCCACGGGGATCTCCGAGGTCATTTTGCCGCACGTGATGTTACACTTCTTCGCACCGTGGTGCTGCCCTGAGCCCACAGAGGCCCCCAGTCAGCAGCACTGTCCATGGGCATCTGGCTTCCCAGCCCCACGCCAGCTTGCCCCCGCCGTGCATCCCCCAAACCAGAACCGATGCCCCACACCCTTGACCTCAGCCCCCTGTCCCGGGCCAAACCTCTCTATGCCTCAGTTTCCCCACCTGTAAAATAGAGACAGCAATAGGACCTACCTCAGAGGGTTGCTGTAAGGTGATGAAAATGAATTCTTACTTATAAAGCTCTTATTGCCTGGCACATTGTGTTTAATTTTAAAAATTAAATCGCTATAGTTGGTTCACCCTGGGGAGAGGAGTGTGAGACTGACAAGGATCTGCCTGAGGTCACACAGCCAGCAAGTGATGGAACAGGCTCTCCTGCCGGGCCTGGCTCCCGGCCCTTCTGGGCCCAGGGCGCTGCCCTTCCCCCCCCACCATGCTTTTACTCCAGTAAAGTCACCTGCTCAACTGTCGCCCCCTCCCAACCATATCCCATCCATCCCTCTCAGCCTGATCCATATCCATGGGTTTCCGCAACCTCTGGGACACACCCAGACCTCGGTCCATCCACATCCCACGTGTATACCCTATGACACACACGTACACTCACAGCACCAAACACAATGACACATATATATATGCCCCCCACCCCCCCCAAAAAACACATAAAGGCATACATGCAACCAGGCACACATAGCGGATAATAAAATTTTTTAAATATATAAGTACAACCACCTTCTAGGGAGTGTGCTGAGTAGGTGATCCCTTGTTCTGCCATTAAGAGCCAGGATGATTTTGGAAGCAGTTTCTTGGGAGGAACGCAATGGGCCGTTTGGATTCCCAGGGCAAGCTGGGAGCAGGCGTAAGGAGGAGGAATGGAGATGCGTTGTACACGGAGTGGGGACAGAGTGAGATGGGCGGGGGCCTGCAGATGGCTGCGTCCCACGTGGAGCCAGACAGAAACCCCAGGACAGAATGACGGTGACCCAACAGATAGCTGAGAACCCAGACATTTTATGTAAACATTCCAAGTGGTTTGCATTGCATTTCCACCTTCCCCTAAAATCTCCAGCAAAATTTGTTTGCTGTTTGCTGTAAGCTCTAGAGGGGTGTGCAAAAAATGAGGGAGAACCTGAGTGTCAGATCTGGGTCAAGGTCATATGCAGCCGAAGCATGACCTCAGAGGGTTTTGCAAAAATCTAGAGGCCAGGACTTCCAGGGCAGTGGAGCTGAGGGAACAAACTAATTTAGCTCTGCAGAGCTAGGGAGGCCCCAGGTGACCCCCCCCCCGGGGTTCCACCAAAACACACACAGCTCACACACAAATACTTATGTGTGTGGACATGCAAACCAAACACGCTCCGCCTTCCCAGATACAGGCGAGAGCTAGGGAGGCCCCAGGTGGCCCCCCCCCCGGGGTTCCACCAAAACACACACAGCTCACACACAAATACTTATGTGTGTGGACATGCAAACCAAACACGCTCCGCCTTCCCAGATACAGGCGTGCACACACACCTTCTAGAATCTGCCACCCCTTCTCTCATCATTTCCCCTGCCTCGGCCCACCCTGCTTTGTGGGAAAGAGGGTGCAGGGCTTGCAGGGTGAGGCTGGGCCATCAGGGGGCAGCAGTAGTAGCCCCAAGGTGGTCGGCGGGCTCCCTGCCGCTGGTCCCTGAGTCACTGGTAGCCCTTTCTCTCTGAGGAAACAGGATGTGGAAGGCGCTTTATCACCCTCCTTCTCCCACAGTGGGACCTCAGAATGACTCAGCTGCAGCCTCCCCAGGTCCTGTTGAGTAGAGCCAGGAGCCAGCCCCTGGACTGGTGTGGCAGGTGACTTCCAGAGGAATCCCCAGAAAAATGGTGCCCCCGGATGGCCTGGACCCGGGAGAGGCTGTCCAGCGGGCAGGAGGGATAAGCTCGGGCAGGTCAATTTGCTCTTCTGACTTGCTTCCACTGCCCAATTCCAGGGCTTAAAGAGCCACAGAGGTGGCCTGTCCTAAAGTCTCCACCCTCTGCCGTGGTGCCTGAATGGCCCCGGCCAGGCTCTGTTCTTGGTTCTGCTTGAGAAGGTTGCGTAACTAACTGGGGGGTCTTTTCTTCTCAGAGCTGAAATTTTCTTTTCTGTAACTGGAAATAATGCCTCCACCAGCCAGTCATCTATTACCTGTCATATAAGTGTCAGGAGGACAGGGACCTTGTATGTCTTGGTGTCACAGTGTTTCCCAGCATCCAGCATAAGGTAGATATAAATATTCATCGAAGGAAATAATGTCTCAATCCCTTCACACACCTCCCCATCCATCTATCCATCCATCCATCCATTTATCTGCCACCCCCTTGTCAATCCCCTACCCATTCCCTGCCACCCACCTGTCTACCTCCCATCCATCCCCACTCACCCTGGTCCATCAATCTATCCATGCCCCACTCACCCACCTATCATCTGTCCATCCCCTACGCATCCTCCACCCCCTTCATCTCCCCACCCCTCCATCTCTCACCAGCCCACTCACACATCATTCATTATACATCCATTCATCCATCGATTTCCTGATTCAGGCAACACTTGTCTGAATTACTTTTGAGTATCTACAAAGACCCAGACCCTCTTTCCTTAACCCTGAGCTCCTTCTCCTGAAGGTGCTGGTGCTGAGCTTGAAGAGAGCACCTCAATCCCAATAAATGCTATCAGATCACCATGTTCACTCAGTCAACCAACAAATGCCGACCTGGCTCTTGCCAGGCCCTGTGAGGAGTAGAGGGATGAACAAGGCCCATCTCTGCCCTCAGAAGTCTCCCAGCCTGATGGACAGCTAAGACATAACCACAAAGTATCAGAGCTTTTCTTAGTAGAACACCTACTGTGTTTTGGACCTTATGCTCAGCACACACACACCTGCTCTCATTAATTCCTGCAAAGGGATGATTTTTATCCCCATTCTAAAGATGCGGAAGCTGAGAATCAGAGATGTTTAATGACTTGCCCAAAGCCACACAGCTGCTTAGTGGCAGATCTGGTTTTCCTCCCAGCCCCTAGACATCCACTGTTCTACGCTGCCTTAAACACCAGGTAAAAACACCGTGTTCCAGAACAGACCCTGAATGTGCCAGGGTTTACAGGACGGAGAGACCACTTCCAGCTGCAAGTGATCAGGAGATATTTCTTAGAGGAGGTGTACATTAGGCTGGACCTCAAGGACTGTTTGGAGGATTACAGGCAGGAAAAGATGGGAATGTTCTGGGTCTCTGGGTATTTGGGTGGTAGAGAAGGCTTGAGCCATTGCTCAGCTGTGTGTCCTGGATGAGTGACTGAGGTTCTCTGAGCCTCCATTCCCTTACCTGTAAAATGGACATGATAATACCTGCTTCGCAGGATGGTTATGAGAATGAAGCTTTAAAAATATCTGGACCCTTAGAGCAGGGTTTTCTCAACAGCAGACACCACTGACATCTTGGACCACATAATTCTTTGTTATGGAGGCTGTTCTGCGTACTGCAGGACATTTGGCATCATCCCTGGCCTCTACGTACCAGGTACCTGAGCACCCCCCAACCAAAATGTAACAAGCAAAACTGTGTCCAGAAATTGCCAAATGTCCCCTTGGAGGCCGAATCCCGCACTGAGGAGTGCTTCCCTGGAGACATCCATGTGTCCCCGCCCAGCTCCCTCAACGCCCCCTTCTTCCCTGACCGACTACTTAAAATCTCAACACCTTCCCTACCACCCCCGACTCCCTGCTTTTTTAAATCACAGCGCTTTTTTCCTTCTAACAGACCAAATCTGTTTATTTTGAGGATTGTCTGTCTTCTCCAGTTGATGCTCAGCACGCTGAGGGCTGGGATCTCTGGCAGTTTTATTCACTGATGTGGCCCCAACACCTAGAATTGTGCCTGACACATAGTAGGTGCTCAGCCAGTGAATGAATCAACAAAATGCACAAGGAAGCACTTTGTGACGTATAAAATCCTAACCAACGGAGACATAGAGGAATTTTCATTTAAGTTCGACTTGGGCCTGGACCTGACCTTCTGGATTTATCCTCCCCTGCCTTCCCCCCACCCACACCCTAACCAGGTGGGCAGACAACAGCAGCTTAATTCAGATTTTTTTTTCTCTCTTTCTTGTTGGAGCTTGAGTGGGAGTGAATGCGTCAGTGCTTGGGGAGAAAAATTCTCTGCTCTGACTTCTATCTGCAGGTTTGTTATATAAAGCAGAGGAGCCTCTTGCCTGACACAGCCCTGCAAACCCACATTTGGGAGCTGACGCCGCCACCCTGCACCAGCCAGGGCAGTAGCCACGAAATCCCCAGCCCCCTTCCGGGCCTCTCTGGCTTGTGGACCACTCCCTAGTCCTGCAGGGGTTCCCAGGGGCTCTCTCAGAGGCACAAATGTCAGCGTGGCTAAGGACTTCCAAGATGAGCCCGGCCAAATGCCCAGTCTTAAAGGAGGAGAAACTGAGGCTCAGAAAGGTTGAAATAATGTGAGTATCTCCCAGCAAAACCAGTGACCAAGATTAGGGCAGGAACTTGATGATTTTGAAGTCTCGGGCTGCTGGATAGAGCATCCAGAGTGCCCCCAGGATCCCCTCTCCATCCTAACATAGAAGACTTCCACCCCCAGCTTAGTATAAGTAATCCCTCCTCCTCCCACTTTCAAAGTGTCCTCATAGGCATTAGAGCCTCACCACATGGAGGCAATAGCTATATTTAAACATGCAGCAGCTGGGACCAAAGAAGGTAAGACCCCACTCAGGGTCAGGGCTATGGCAAAGCAACCTCCATCGGAGTCCACATCTTCCAGTACCCACTATCCCCAAACACCTCGGAGCTCAGTGTTCTAGCCCAGGAAACAGGAGGGCCAGCAGCACGAGGCCCACACCACACCACCCACCTGCTCTCTGCCCCACTGGTGGGTTTTCCCCAAATAGAGGGACTCGGGGGACAGTTTGCTCCACGGAGGTGCTCTGGAAGCTGGAGACTGGTTCTCATTTTCCCAGCCTTGCTGTGTGCCCTAAGGCAGCCTCCCACCCTCTCTGAGCCCCAACCTGCCGGATGGTCCGGGTATTCCCTGAGGATGGGGTTGACTCAAAAGGTTCTTGAAGGCAGTGTGATCCACAGATGTGGTGAGCATGCAACCACACTCTCTCCTGCACCCAGTCTTACCCTCTCCTGCCCTACTTGCTGGCTGTGCATCCTCAGGCCAGTTTCTAAACCTCTCTGGGCCTCCATCTTACTTATGTCGGGTGGGATGGATACATCATGCCCTATCAGGTCCCAGGCTCCAGAAAGCAAGTGACTGGAGGTGCAAACATTTCTAAGCTATGCTGGTAGGAGAAAGGCAGTATCATGGGGGAGACACAGGCAGAGGGACTGGGGGCTACAGGCCAGAGGAACAGTGATGAGCCGAATTCATGAGCTGCAATGACCTTGACCTCCACTGGTCCTGGGCCCCCTACTCCTGGGAAGGACTTGAAATCAGGGCAGGAGAAAGTCCCAACTATGGCTTAGCCCGGGGCCAAGCTGAGACTCAGGAGTCAGGGCTGAGGGTTACAAATTAACCCTGTGCAGGGAGACCGGCCCACAGTCTGCCAGGGCTCCCACCCCAGGGCCCACCAAGAGCATCCTCGGGCTTCCCACAGCCCCACCTCCTGGCACCCCTCCACACCCGGCATCTTGTGCTGCTCCCACCACCTCTCTGTGCTGCCATGCTGTCGCCACCTTGCTCACTGGGCCAGGCAGGGACAGTCTCCGGAGACGGTAAATCTTTCCAGCCGGAGGGGCAGTCCTGAGTCCGGGACGCCACCAGGGAGATGCCCAGCCCCCTCCGGCATATCAGTCAGAAAGGGGCTGCCACGGGTTTTAGCCTTACACGGGAGGGTCCGGGGGCCCTCATGGAGGCCTGAGGGGCAGAAGTGGGGCTGGGGGTTCCCCAACCCCGCTTATGCCTGAGTCCACCACACTCACCAGCCAGAAGCACGATCAGATGGCAGAGAGCAGTCAAACGGAGCAGCCACGAGAGAGGTGGAAGAGCCATGGTCCAGGGGGTCCGGGGGTGCCGGGGCAGGCGGTGTGGGCCCTCGTCGGGGCTCGGTGCTGTCTCTTCGCTGCCTGAGCTCTGCCGCGGTTTATAATCGGGCTCCACTGCCTCTGCCTCGCTCGCCCCCGCAGGCAGCAGGCAGGCGGTGGGAGGGGAGAGGAAGGGAGCGTGTACAGCGACTGAATTCCTTAGCATGTTGCCAAGGAGCTGAGTCGGCTCTCAGACTCTGGGTGAGGGCTCCTGGTGGGGGTGACCGGCTGGCTTCTCATACGAGGACCCGCCTGCGAGGCTGGAGGAAGCCTGCTAGGGTTCAAAGGGCCTCCCCTCCTCCCATCTGCTGGGGCCACCTTCCTACTGGGAGCTGACACACTCTCCTAAGTGGGTAGTAAACCAAAGGACAGAAGACTAGAGAATGCTGGCTGCGGGCAAGCCAGGAGGACACAGGGCCCATGAGTCTGGGTCTGACGAAGTCTCCTTTGGTCTGGGAGTAGCTCTCCCACGCCAGGAAGGATCTCCAGCCCTTACCTCTTAAAGCCCCAACACCTGGGGCACCTTGTTCATCAAAGTATCCTCCGAGCCCAGCATGCAGCCTGGCAAGCAGTAGGGGCTCCGTACAGCAAATGCTGCCGAAAGAATGATCCAGCCCAACTTCATAGGGACAAATGGACAAACTGAAGCCCAGAGAGGGGGCAGAATCATGCCAGGTCATAGAGGTCATCAGAGCGGAGAACCCATCTCCCGCTGCCACAGAGAAGAGTAAGCATGAGCCGGGCGTGGGCAGTTCAGGCAGGACACAGGCAAGAGCCCCGGCCTCCCTGCTTCCAGCCCCCCTACCTGTTGTTTCCTCATTTGCACCCACTCCCATAGCTGGCTCTGGCCCTCTGTGAGCCCACGGGAAAAACACGGCTGCCAGCCTCACCCCTGGTAACTCAGGGCCTCTCGGTTGGTCCTTAACTCGGCAGCATGCTTGAAAAAGTCCGGCCCCTCACGGGGGCTCCATCTGTACAAGGAGGGAGTTGGGCTTATTCACTGAGGAGGGAGCTACACAGCTCTGACTTTCTAGGTTCTCTCTTTGTTAGAGGTGGTGACAACAGGACCAGGCATGATCGGCCATCAGCTCCCACCAAACTGGTATAAGGGCTTTGCTGGTATAAATGGGTGCAGCACAGCTGCTATCATGGCTGCTTTCCCTGCAGGCAGTGGCAATAATGCCAGAGACTCCGGAAGAGTCTAACAGGAGCCTAGCCCAGTCTGGGACAGGAGTTAACTGTGAACCCACTCCCATCTAGGCAAGTCTGGGCTGCCAGCCAGAGCAAAACCAGTTTGTGAGGCACTGTTGCAGGCTACGGAGCCAGTTGGTCTAGGCTGGGCTGGGTGGAGGGGTCACAGCTCCCAAGGCCAGGGTACCTCTCTCTCACCCAAGCACAGTAAAGCTGCCTAGGGTGTGGAGCTAAGAGCCTGGACCCTCCTTGACAGGGAGGAACACCCCTGGCACTGGCCAATGTCCACTCAGCCTCGGAGAATCTGTCGCAGCCCATGCAGATACGAAGCTAGTAGTAACCTTCACATCCCTCGGTGTATAGCTGTTGAGGCCCAGAGGCGGACAAGAAGTGAAATAAACTGAGGTCCAAGGCTTTCTGTTCTACCCAAGTAGGAGCAGATGAAGAAAAGGGGGAGGAGAAAGAGGAGGGGGAGGGCCAGGGATAGGGGACAAGTGGGAGGAGGAAGGGGGAGAAATAGGGAGGAGGGAAGCGGGGAGGGGAGAGGCGAGAGGCAAGTCCTGGGAAGCCCCACACTTCATAAAGGACAAGACCCGGGTTGGGCCAGGTATTTGGGGGTAAAGACCCTTGTTCCCTTGGCCCCGGACTATGCTCCAAAGAAGGATTTAGAAAGCAAGGGCTTTGGGATCAGATGATCCTGGCTCTGCCACTATCTCTGTGTGATCTTGGGCGGCTTCCCTGCCTCTCTGAGTTCACACTTACTCTGAGATAGGTACTGTTTTAAGTGCTTTGTATGACTCATCCAGGAAATCATGACAACAAACCCAGGTGTAAGCAAAATACCATTATCGTGGTCCATTTTATGGATGGGGAAACTGAGGCATGCAGAAGTTAAGGAATTTTCTGAGGATCACCAGCCAGGAAGTGGGGGAGCTGGATTTGCCCCGGCCAGCTGGCTCTGGAGTCTGAGCTCCTGATCACCAGACTACACCACCTCCCTCCATCCGCACTTCGTGGAATGCTGTGAGAATTGAGTTTGTGCCCTTAAGGTGCCGGTTCAGAGCCTGGCACGAAACAGGTGCCAAAACACAGATATAACGCTGTTTTTCTTTGTTCAGCTCTTGGGAACGTCCTCTGTCTTCTACCGGCCCAGCTTTCCCTCCCATAAAATTGGAATGGTCACCCCACCTAACTCATCAGGGTGTTAAGAACTGAGTTTAGATTCAATTCAGACACAGGAGCCAGGCTTTTAGGTTGGTGGGACCTGGAGACAAACATGACTCCACCACTTATGAGGGGTGTCACTTTGGGTAAGTGACTTAACCTCTCTGAGCCTCAGCTTCCCCTTCTGTAAAATGGGATGCTAAAGCCACCTCATCAAATCACTCCCTGGGGGAGTTCATAAAACTAAGGACTTTCAGAGTGCCTGGCACACAGAAACCCTTGGTGTTTGTTATTCAGCCCTGATGTGTGCCTGGCACTGTGATGGGACAGTGTTGGTGGGGGAGCCTAGGCAAATAAGCCAAAGTCTTTGCCCCAAGGAGCCCCAGCTCACTGGGAGGGAGAAGATGCAAGTCCTACCAGGGATTCGAAGACTACAGGTCTTAGGGAGGGAGAGAAGCCTTTGTTCTTGTCTGGGAATCAAGGAAGGCAGGAATGAGAGACGGTATTTCAATCAGAAGATGGACAGAGGGACTTCCCTGGTGGCACAGTGGTTGAGAGTCCTCCAGCCAATGCAGGGGACATGGGTTCGATCATTGGTCTGGGAGGATCCCCCATGCTGTGGAGCAACTAACCCCGTGCGCCACAACTACTGAGCCTGCGGTCTAGAGCCTGTGAGCCACGGCTACTGAGCCTGCGTGCCGCAACTACTGAAGGCTGTGCGCCTAGGGCCCGTGCTCTGCAGCAAGAGAAGCCACCACAGTGAGAGGCATGTACACCGCTTGCTGCAACTAGAGAAAGCCTGCGTGCAACAACAAAGACCCAACACAGCCAAAAATAAATAAATAAAATAAATTTATTTTTAAAAAAAGATGGGCAGAATTTTGCTTTTTTTCTACATTATCGTTTTGAAAAATCTGTAAACAATAAAGAAGAAATGAAACAGAGCTTTCCTATCTCTACCACTAAGATTCAATGATTAGCATTTTTTCATATTTGCTTCATTTTTCTTCTTTTTTTTTTTTTTGCTAAGCCATCTCAGAGTAAATTATGGATGCCTGATACTTTGCCCCTTGAATTCTTTAGCATGTACCTCCATTGTATAGACATTGTCTTACATAAATAGAATACTATTATCCCACCTAACAGAACTAACAATGATTCCTATATGTCTTATAATATTTAGTTAATATTCAAATTTCTCCAATTATCCCAAAATGTATTTTAACCTTCTTCTCCTTCCCTCCCTTTTTCTCTCCTTTCCTATCGATCATCTACCTATTTATCTATCCATACATATCTATCTATCTATCTATCTATCTATTGAACCAGGGTTCAATCTAGGTTCATGCATTGTGTATGGTTATTTCTATTTATTGTACGATAGACCTCCTTTACATTTTTCATGACATTGACTTTCTGAAGAGTCAGGACCATTGTCTCACATGCTGTTCTCATTTTTTTTTTTTTTTTTTTTTTTTTTTTTTGCG